ATGAGAGGACGCAGGATACACTGAGGACAGAGCTTTCCTCTCCACTTTTGTGAAGTGCAGTGGAAGTGTGCTGGTCATTGTTCAAAGGGTACCCACCTTGGGAGGGATCTTCTTAAACTTCTCCCAATAATAGTAGGCAGACTGGTTACTGACACTGGGTCTCAAGTTTGAGGGCAGGGCCTTGCACAGGAAATGAGCTGAAACTAGGTCATCATCACCATCACATGACAAGATCATCTTGTCTGTCCACAGTCTGTCCAACCATGGGAGCGGCGGACCTTCCCTCTGGCTTACAGTCCCCAGGCAGAATGTGAGGAGCAGCTGGATGCACAGGACATAGCAGCCCGCTGCACTCGCCGCACCTCAGGCAGCAAGACTGGCCGGGAGACAGAGGTGGCACCCACCTCACCTCCTGTTGTCCCTCTCAAGAGTCGGCATCTGGCAGCAACAGTTGCAGCTCAGCGCCCAACTCACAGATGAACAGAATTGAGACTATACAGACTCACTACTTATTGGCATTAAAGCTTCAGAAATCTCTGCGTTTGATATTCAAACATCATATGCTGGAATTTTCACAGTTTTTAGTGAATTTAAGGAATTTAGATCCTCCTTTGGTTGGTTTGGTTTTGTTGTTTCTGTTTTCTTGTTTTGTTTTCATGTCACACCTGAGCACTTCCTCCAATTGACAGACAAGTTCAGGAAGAGACCCTGTTGGCCTGGTCCTGCATATCCTCTGCACTGTTGGATCACTGGACTTCCCAATGTTAGATGATCACCCTCTCCCTTGCACCTGTGGGGTAGGGTGGACCAGCCAGATGGCAGCAGGTGGAAAGCTCCAGGTCAGCACAGCCTCCTTAGGTTAGGTTGGGATAGAGCAAGAGCAGTCTGGGCTCTTACCTTTCCCACCCATCTGAGGCTTGGCTTGGCTTAGCCCCAGCTGGGCACCCCCTCCTTCCTTGGTCTTATGTGCTGGAACACCTGTCTAGCCAGCTTCTTTGTTCTGTTGGCCAGTTCTTCTTAATGAACTTTGGGCCAGCAGTACAGCTAGCTTCCTGTCACCTGGACCTTGAAAACCTGTTTTCAGTTTCATCTGCATTTGGTTATCCGTCTTGGCTCCTTGAATGCAGTACCCTGCTGCAGCTGCTCAGGTCACCCTATTCTACCCTTCCCTGTCTTCCTCTCCCACCCATGCACACAGACACATTAGTCCTTCCACTCCTAGCATCTATGACGATAGGGTTTGGACTGCTTAACCCATTCCCTCTCCCCTACAAACTAGGAAGTCTGTGGAGTACACAGCATCACTTCTGTATCATGTTTTCACTGAGTAGTTCACATGTCATGTTTCTTTCATGTCCCCATCAGACAGTCACTTAGACTCTCCCTCTTCTCCGCTCCCCTTGCCTGTGGAACACTGTCTGGTCCTAGCTGTGGTTTCCATTGTTCCCCACCAACCTCCTGTTAGCCTTGTGCCTGTCTCATGTATAATCACATCACCAAAAAAGGGGAGGGGGAAAGGAATTTTCTTTTTCTGCCATTTTATAATCATACAAAAATAATAGGCAGACTGCTTAATGGTTGGGGTTTTTTCACAATTTTCAACATTAGTGATTTTTTTTTTCTGTTTGCAAGTTAAAAGGTTTGTCATTGTTTCTTTAAACAACAATAATGCACCATATCCCTATGCATAAAGTGCTTCTTCTATTTATAAGGTTGAAAATTCTGAATAACCCTTTTAGCATTGTAAAAAAAAAA